GCTGAACTGTGTATTTTCCCTGAAAGTATGTATTTTTTCCCAGCAAAGTTTTGTTGGGGGTTATGTTACTGAAGAATGAACAGAGATGACTATGTGGAGGTGTTTAAAGCATACTGTACCTGCAGCAGATTTAAATTCCAGCTTTTTGTTATAACTTTTTAAAAGATTGTGAAAATATCAAAATGTACATGAATCAAGTTTTAATATACTGTATGATGATGGGTGGATGAGGCTGTCCATTGTACCATTTGTTTGAATTCTCAGGCATGGTTTGGCAGTGCAAGAACTCTGTAACATTAACAAACTCAATAAAAAGTAAATATATGGATTTTGGACTGTAATGATTATTTTAAAGGCTTATTTTGTCTTTGAAAATAGTGAGTTGAGGTCATGCCTCTCTTGCTTTAGGAAAATGATGCTCTAAACTCAGGAGTTACTTTCTGTTTGAGAAGTATTTGCAGAGTACTCAAGCATAAAAAGACATGAGGAATTAGGGAAACCAAAGACAGTAAAAAGAAATAGAAAATTTTAAAAATACAGAACAGGCATGTATGGCTGCAAAGCTGTGACAAATTTCTTTGGAAAACTTTTGAAATACACATTTGTCCTTGTTGCTGTATTAAATTTTGTTACCTTAAACTGCAGAGGGATCTAAAATTTTTATATAGATTAAAGGATTTGAGGCTTTGTTTCTTGAGTATTTAACAATTCTCAAAAAGAACAGTAATTTTAAATTTCAGGATTTAGTTTGGATGATAGTCCCTAGATTTTAAAATTAGCAAAAGTATATTTCAGTCATTTTGGTAATTAATTTTAAATATGTAATGTTATTTTGCTGTTTGATTATTTTTTGTGCTTGAGATCTCTTTTTAACAGCCCCATTTAAGGTAGAACATGCACAGAACTCACTCCCTATCACTCTTCCCTCCTTTGATTTCCTTTTTTTTATTTTTTTTTTTTTTTTTTTTTATTTTTTATTTTATTATTTTTTTGGGTGGGGACGGAGTTTCGCTCTTGTTACCCAGGCTGGAGTGCAATGGAGCGATCTCGGCTCACCGCAACCTCTGCCTCCTGGGTTCAGGCAATTCTCCTGCCTCAGCCTCCTG